AAATAGTGAAAAACCGGGTTGAAAAAATGACAAATGATTTTTCACGATTTTTACCGTATTTTGACTATAAAATAGGTAAAAATTGACCTATAGGGAAAACTTTTTTTACAAAAATGTCCACCATGAAAAGCTCTACAAAACCAAGTATGAAAAAAAAAATTCAAGACTTTTGTGTTTTTGTGGTTGACTACCCATGGAAGGACCCATTTATATTAGACCTGACAATCCTCAATCAGTTGATAACGTAACAAAGAAGTATATTCTCATTTGTGATTGTTGTAGGTGATTGTAACTATGAGAATTGTTATAATCGGATCAGGACCCTGCGGGCTAGGTGCTGCATGGCGTGCGCAAGAAGTAGTTCGCCAGGGTAAGTTTTCTTTACGTAGTTACCGAAAAAACAAGACAAGCATTATCTTTTTGTAGGGTACCAAAATTTAGAATGGAAAGTTGTAGAACAAGAGCAAAATCCTGGAGGTTTAGCGAAAACAATTGTGGATGAGCAAGGTTTCCTGTGGGACATTGGAGCTCATGTGATTTTTTCACACTACGCATATTTCACGTCGTTGCTGGATATAGCCCTTCCATCTGAAGAATGGAGCATAAAAAAACGAGAGGCGTGGGTTTGGATGCGAAACACTTGTATTCCGTATCCGCTACAGCAAAACCTTTATCGCTTGCCTAACGACGAAATAATACGCTGTATCGATGGATTGCTCGAAGTCGAAAAAAAGCGTTTGACATTTAATAAGCCAAGGACGTTTCGCGATTGGCTTGAACAATCATTTGGAACAGGTTTATGCGAAACGTTCATGTTTCCCTATAATTTCAAAGTTTGGGCTTGTCCTCCGGAAAAAATGAACGTTGAGTGGATGGGAGAACGTGTGGCTACTGTGGACGTTTCAAAAGTAATTGCAAATGTTATTTTGAAGAATGATGATGGCGGTTGGGGGCCAAACAGCACATTTCGGTATCCAAAACATGGAGGAACCGGTGCTATCTGGACAGGACTATACAACAAGTTACCAGCAAAAAATTTTCATTTTTTAAAAAGTGTCACGTCAATAGATGTAGCAAAGAAAGAAATAGCTTATTCTGATGGTAGTAATGAGCGCTACGATGCCATCATATCGACTATGCCGTTAAATCGCTTGTGTTGTATTGTCAAAGGAACGTCTTTGTCCCCTGATATAATTCAGAAAAAAGCTTCTCAATTTCGTTATTCATCAAGCCATATTGTTGGATTCGGAATAAACGGACAGCCACCATTGCTGCTGCAAGACAAAACATGGCTTTATTTCCCTGAAGATGATTGTCCATTCTATCGAGTCAGTGTCTTCTCTAACTTTGCTTCAGAAAACGTTCCTCGACCCGGAGAGCAATGGTCATTGATGTGTGAAATAGCAGAGTCGTTAGACAAGCCTGTTGAACACGACAAGGTTGTGGCTGCTGCTGAGCAAGGGTTGAAAAACACAAAAATAATTGATGATCGAACAGAAATAATTTCTCGGTTCCACATACGCTTGGAACATGGATATCCAACACCATTCTGCGGACGCGATTTGTTGTGTGAAGAAATTTCCGATGAATTGGAACTTTTCCAAATCTACTCGCGAGGCCGCTTTGGAAGTTGGAGGTACGAGATAGCAAATCAAGATCATTCGGTAATGCAAGGGGTTGAAGCTATTGATCGTATTTTGTTCGGTACGGAAGAGATGACAATCAAACATTCCAATATTGTTAATCAGAATCGGGATACAAAAGGTAGACAAGCAATGTCAGTATGATTTTCAGACCAATACAACACACGGCAATCGGCTAGTCCACGTAAGGTGACACTTTGCTGATGAAGAAACATTCCGCGAAAAAAACAAAGATTACGCAAACACGTGGGTTCATAGATTTGAGATCTAGTCTCATAGGAACTTAGATTTCATCGACCCACATATGAATCTAAAATGTTACAGTTTGACGATCTACTTTAAGGCCATCCTCCCATCTCTAAAAATGACGATTCCCGCAAAAATTTCCTAAGCTGAGATAAATGCATGGGGAAATAGCCTGTTTTCAGATCTTGAGGGTGCGATGTGCTTTTGTCCAACATAACTTTTGACTGAGAATTCTGATGATTTTTGTGGTGGGCTATATGAAAAAAGATGCCCTTGTGGTAAGAATTAAAAGCACATTACTAAAAGTATAAGTACTTGCTATCGTGCCCATTTCTACAGATGATGAGTCATGCTTTAGTCGCCTACTAAACGGCATGAAATGCTTTTGAAGCAGTGATGGGATCGGCTCGCGTTTTTGCAAAATTGAACCGAATCCAACCGGATCGAATACTTTTTTTCAACAATCGAACCGAACCGAGAGGATTTTCATTAAAACCGATCGAATCGAACCGAATTGAACCGAAACATATTATTCTCGCCCCAAATACTAGAGATTTTCCTCTAAACCTTCGATTGAAAGAGCCTTATCAAAAGTAGTCATACTTTAAAAGCTACTTAAACATTTCTTTACGAATTAGTTGCATCTTCTTCATGGCCAAGTTTAAAAATAAGTATACTGGAGAGTTAAAAATTATTAACAGTTTCAAACAGGGGTACACAAGTTCAAGTTGAAGACCCGACTCAATTAAACTTTAGAACTGCAAAATCATTGATTGTGAACGAACTGAACCTGTCGAATCATTCATTCATATTGCATTAACGACCTGTAAAGTGTAAAACAAGTCGCGTTCGAACGAAGCTAACTAGTTCCTGAATTCATTCAAAACAATCAATTCAGCTCAAGCCAACTATTGAACACTTCAGCTCATTTGCACTGAACTGTTGGAAAATGAGTGTTTCTGGACTTCAACTGAACTTTTTAGACCCCTACATCCAAACTAAGTTCATAATCACCCATATGATCCATTATAGCGATTGCCGGGAAATTCGTTGGAAACACAGTCACCAGTAAATATCCGGAAATTGAATTCCCAAATTTCCAAGCTTTGGAAATTGAGATGGACCCTGTACAGGGTATACCAAAATTATAAGTAGGTATGCACCAGTACAGTCTGACTGGGTATCCAGTCCGACTGTGTGCTAGTCCGACTGGGGATCGGTCCGACTGGGTACAAGCTTCCCATGGTAACTTCTACTGGATACTACATATCTTCTACTGAGAACAAAAATTTGTTATTAATTCATTCATAACGAATTATGACTAATTCAGATGCTACCAAATTCAAAGATCAAATCAAATTTGAATGTTTGTTTTCCAATCTATAGTATACCATATGTATTAATATTCTTTCAGCAAATTATTCCAATTCATTCCTATGTCTTTATTGCACGTAATAAATAGTTTCGTTTTTTCATGGATATAGTATACGTATTATGTCATTCTACTGGACTTCTCAATCACATTCCTTTATCGATAAGCTTTAGTCAATTGTGACTTTGAATAGAATATACTACAACAGCCGATTTTATCACAGAAAATAAAAGCATTTCGAAGACATTTATTAAAAATGAATATTGCCGAATCGAACTCTATGAGAAATGAAAGACTTTTTTATTGTCTACTATTCTGTATTTGGGCATATATTTATTACTTAAAACGCCTACTACAATATATTTGATGAAATACCTAAGAGTAAAATAAATAAAAAAAACACAAATGTGTCGATAGTTACATATGTGATATAAAAACTCTGTATTTATATACACATAGATGTATGTTGAGATTTGATAAGAATGCATTTGTTATAAGGCAAAGCTTTTTCAAGATGATAATTTATAACATTTTTTGCGAGGTCGACTAATTTGAGTGCAAATTTGACGCGAACATATTCGAACAACTTTTATTGATCATCGTCGAATTTATCCTAAAAGATAAAATTGTTTGACAACGAAATCCGGATGATAACATGATACATTGTGCTTGATGCATCTGCGTTCTAAGCTTCGGAAAACTTCTACCAGCATCCTCTCTCCGAGATCAAACATTATACCATTATAAAAAAACCTTTCATTATGTCATAAAAATATCTGTAGTATGTTCAGAACGTGCATTTACCGATTAGATTAAGTCATGCACATGAAGAAATCATACAAAAAAGTTCTGTGTAATATTAATCAAAGCGAGAAACATAGCTTTTATCGTGACTAGCTTACTTTTAAAAAAATGACCGTCGATAGGTTTTCTGCTGATAAGCGTGATCGTTCTTTTCGGGCTGCAAAGGCAGCGATTGAAAAAGCAGCTTCTGAAGCGACACTTGTTGCTGGCGTACAAATCAATTGTCGAGCTAATTTGAAGATGGAAGGAAGTGCATTTTGATAAATTTTCCAAAACTCGACACACGCTGATATAGATGGCCGACGATGGTGATTGAATTTCTCAACTAATAATCAGTAATTATAAATTTCTTCAACAATGGATGCACGCTTCGTAGCAGCCGGTGCTGAAATAGCAGTATCACCAATAGTCATAAGAAAAGCTTCCATAGCTGCAACTTTTTTCTTTTGACCAGAACCACCCGTTGATGTAGTAGTAGAATTCACGACGTCAACTATAATCGGTGATCTTGCACTTGCTTGGGCAGATAACGATGTAGGTGCTGTTGTTGATGATTGGCTGTTCGTATTTACATCACCATTCGTTATTGTTTGTTTGACACGCTGTTCGACAGCACGTTTATCACTTTCGGACAATAATGAATGACTGAGCGGATCGAAATAGGCGTGGAACTATAACAAAAGTATAGTGGCTAATAGACAAATATCGATGTGATGTCATCCTGGGGTATACTTTTCTACTGAACAATACAAATACCTGTACTTATTAGCTTCTCAACGTGAGAAAAGTCACTGCCGACTTTTCTCAAGCCACAAGAATCGGTATCTGTGTTTAGCTTTGAAACAAGCAGATTTACACATGGGATATTTAGAAAATAACCGTCTACTAACTGATAGTTGCGAACTTGCTCTGCCACACAGAAACGCACCATAACTTTAGATGTGTGGCTGAACTGCTACAGAAATTGTTTTAGTTCATATGTTAAGGCAAGATTAGTCAAAGATATGATTTTATCCTCACGCGAAGACTGACGTGCCCTGGAATATTTGCAGGTGAAATGTTACAACTACAGCATCGTTTGTCTAAGCATAAATTCATATTCTATTTGATGCTATTGCTGAAACCATGGCAAAAGGTGAAGAGTAACATTCTAACACCTATATTATTCTTGTCAGCAAAAAATTGATTTCTTTTCTTTAGCGTTAATGGTTATAAACGTTGAGAAATAGATGCTGACAGACTTAACTTACTTTCAAGATGTTCAGCTGGTCTCGATCTTGTTCGTAGTAATGAATAAACTTCGCCAACAATAATTTTTTCAAACGTTTAACAATCAGAATATCATTTTGATCGTCAGATAAAGATCCCTTCAACTTCATCAATATGAAAAACGCTGCACCAATTGTACAATAATTTCTTCCAGATATTGTTTTTGTAGCACTATAAAAACTGCGAAGAACCTTCCATAGTTCTTCTAAGTAGTTCCATTCAGAACTTGTCAATTCGAGCTTGCTGAATTTTTTTAGTTGTTTACGATTTTTTGTTAAAACATGTTTATCTCGAAATAGCTTTTTAATGATTGGGCGTAGGATTTTTAACGAATGAATTATTAAAAACGTAGAATTCCATCTCGTACGCACATCTTGTATTAAATCACGTTTTTGTTTTGATAAATTACGTTGTTGTTTAACGTATCCATTAAATATCGACGATTTTTTAATCATATGAATTAATTTTCGACACTTTATCATCAATGACAATGTTGTCTTCTGCTCTTTGGATAGTTTTGAATCATTAGCGTCGAATTGAACACCTTCTTCCCAGTTGTCTGTTAAACTATCATCAATGTCGGCGTTCAATAAATCACAATCTTCTGGAATGATTTCAATTCCAATCTAATCTGGATCCTCATTTTCCGCTCGATGTTGTTCGTCTTCATCTTCATCATTTTCGATTTCATCATCGACGTCATTGTTAATAGTATCATCGTCGTCTTCATCGTCATCGTCATTATCATTACCATTGTCAAGATAATCGCCTTCACCATCGGCATTATCTTCGCTACCTTCATTAAAATTTTCACCATGACTCACGTCGTCTTCAGTAGTACATTCGATTGTTTCAGTTGTAACATCGTCATCATAATTTCGCGCATGATCAACTTCAGGGAGAATGACCATTTCGTTTTCATTCCCATGTGAGATATTGAGAGCATTAACTTGATTTAATAGTTGACTACTTGCTCCAGTTGTTGATTTATCAATAGTCACAGGATTAACATTTCGCTCTTTTAATTGTCCACGTGCTGTGGGTTTTGATTTAACAATGGATGACGATGATGAAGTAGTAAGTCGATTCGACGATTTGGTAATCGTTGAGGAAGGATCAGTTTTATTGGAGCTCGAAGAATTAATATCACCTATAAAAGCAATTTTATTAGAGGACTTTTCAGAACAACCACTTGGCGAGCCATTTCTCCGAAACTACTAATACGTTTACAATATACTAGGGTACAACTAATTTATATAGAAATGCCGTGTTAGAGACTCTTTGCATCATCAATAACAAAACATGCTTTTGCATCGATAGGTCAACGAACATATACACATAAGTCTAGCAACATCTTTTTGGTCAGTTTAAGCTATCTTTTGAGATTGTATTTAGTGACAAATATTTCTATTCCTTACAACACTTGAAGTCACAAGTGAAGATATGCACTCTCCGCTATCACAGAGCTCCTATGAGAAACGATTTTGCTTTTCCAAGATATTTCGAGATTTTATGGACTAAATCATATTCAAGCATTATATATGGTAAGCTATTAAAGATCGATATCGTTCTTCAAGACTCATCGCATCGTGTGTCTATCTGTTCGTATATTTACAAGTTGTGTGTATTCACTGACCAGTTTGCTTATTCGGCGATTTCGGCCACAACGCCAGACCCGTTGCGACAACTAAATGTAGTCGATGAGCTATGCACCAGATACGTTCAGAACCAATATAAAGGCCATCAATTGCATTTGTTAAGTTTTTGGCACCATCGCAAACAACGCGAGTGATTTTATGAAGAATTTGGAATTTACGCAATTCCGATGAGATAGTCTGACAAATTTGAACCGATGTATGTCGATGTGGAAAAGTTGAGAATGAAAGAACTTTGGATTTCAATTCGAGATTATTTACAAAATAATGTCCAGTCAAAACCGTATACGATGTGTTTGTTCTGTCGGACCAAAAGTCTGTTGTTATGGACAGTGCTTCGACGTTTTTTAGATCTTGAACTAACTTGGATTTGCCTTCTTGATGCAATCGTTTAAGACGACGAGCAACCATGTTCCGATGAATCGGTACATACCCTACAAGACAAAATAATCAATGACAAACGATTGCCAATCGCAAACTGGACAACGTATAATCTAAACGATAGAAAGATTTTGACAATACACTTCTTTTTTAGATTTTTCAATGTTATTTCGTTTACTTGCGTCTAAATGATTCATACGGTTCTATAATGAGCACTTTTTGTTACAGTAATATCTTTAACAATCGAAGATAGATACGTACTCAATAATAAGGAGCAAAAAAACAAACGAGTTGTCTTGTTTGAATATTTATACACCATGAGTACTAGCCAGTTTCAAGTCAGACAAGTTTATCAAGAATTCATCTCATTAGTTTTTCTGTATAGAAATATTGTCTATTGGATATCTTATCAATAGCTTAAAACTCTTTTTTATAAGAAACTTTGTCTTTGTAATGCCTTTCTTAAAACGTGGTATGACTGCGCAAACTTCAACTGTTACGTGCGATTTCGATTCTGACGAATTGTTTAGACTTAATTATGTTCCCTAATGTGAATTCGTCTTATTTGAATTTGAATATCGATTCTCATGCTGCTGACAAAAGGCAAGTGCGTGCGATTCGGATTATGATTTGAGAGTAGAGTTTTACCGACAAAGGTCTTATTTATACATGTAATACATATATAGAACACAATATAGAAACAAACAGTTGAAGAAATATATTTCACAGAAAACTATTGACAGAGTTCTGACATAAAAATTCAAAGAATTGTACGATGTTCATTGTCCGAACAATGTCGATATAAGTGAATTTTCGGCATGCTTCTATTGGATAGGAAATGTAAAGTAAAAGATATATCTTACCAGGAAGTGCCTCTTTCATCACTTTTGATAAGCCAGGTTTGCTGGAGCAGTTGAAAGGTAAACTATCACGAATGATTGCTTCGACACATAACTTATGTAATCTTTCTCTAAGAGATCGAGACATATTCGATGATGGTTGCGCTGCTGGTGTGTTTTGTATGCACACGTCTAATCTGTTGTGCATGACAATTAAATGACGCCGTAATGCCGACGTTGACCAATTATTGGTACTAATCTGTGCACGACAATCAAAGCAGATGGCATACTGTTTACCTTCGATTCTGATTCGAGTCGCATATTTCCATACAGCTGAAGACTGCAGAGAGTGATTTTCGTCGTTGCTTTCTTCAGCCTCATCGATGTTCATTGAGAATGCAGTTGCTAAAGAATCGACACTAGTTTTAGCAGCTTTGCTCTTGTGAAACTGTTTTGTTGGTGCTTCCTTTCTTTTGGAGCCGTTGACGGTTATCTTCGAAATACTTTCTGGATCTTCATCCAGATCAAGAGTCAACGGTTGATCAACAATCGTCTGCAATTGTTCGCGAACATTTCCTTCAGTGGTATCAGTGTCATTGCTTGGAGTGCTAGGCAAGACAGTTGGCGTAGATAATGATTGATCGAATAACGAATTTTCCGACGATGAATCATTAGTTGTAACATTGGTAACAGCTTTGGCTACTTTTTTCGATGGTCGTTTTTTCATATTGCTTGATCGAGAGAGATCTATGTATGTCAAATGAAAAAAGGTGATATATAATAAAGAAAACTCGACAACGTTTCATAAGGAAAATGACAATCAATGATTTGAACATTTTTCTCGGCAAAATAACTTTATCAATGTCTTTCAAATACCAAGCAATGTGTTTGTTATTCGTGCCTTTTCGAGGGATGTCAAAATTCTAACTACAGAATTATAGAATTTTGCTAAAATATATAATTATTAGTTTCTTATTTAACAAGTATAAGAAAAACAAAATTCTTCAGAAAACTACTTCTTTACATCAGAATTGTGCATCTACGCGTGTCGACTGTAGTATGAATATAAAAGATCTAAGCAGAATTGTTTTTCACAGCAGAATTCTGGATTCTCTACAGAATTATGTATCTACATATGTCGATTGTAACATGAATATCAAAAATCTAAGCAGAATTATGTTTTTCACAGCAGAATTCATCCAGAATTCTGGATTCTCTACAGAATTATGTATCAACACATGTCGATTGTAACATGAATATCAAAAATCTAAGCAGAATTATGTTTTTCACAGCAGAATTCATCAAGAATTCTCGATTCTCTACAGAATTATGTATCTACACATGTCGATTGTAACATGAATATAAAAAATCTAAGCAGAATTATGTTTTTCACAGCAGAATTCATCAAGAATTCTCGATTCTCTACAGAATTGTGCACCCACACTTGTCGAATATACTATGAATTTCAAAAATCTAAGCAGAATTATATTTTTCGCAGCAGAATTCTGAATTCTGAGTGGAATAATGAATTTACACAGATCCTGTTTGCATATGTCACTTAGATTTATTTATTTTGGATGATATTTTGCACTATGGTGCTCCAGTCAGTATTTGTTTTAGGTAAAGTAGAATAATCAAAACTTAGTTCATTCCCTAAAGTGACGTTAACATTGCTGGAAATGCGTGACAAATTGTTTGACTTCGTTTTCATCGTGATGTCTGATAAATGCGATAGCGAAACACCTTCAACTTTGGGCACCGAAGCAATCTGTGCAAAAAATTTACAGTGACAGGCCATATAGTATGAATATTAACTCACGATATCAATAACAAAAGATGGAGAACGTTTGACTCTAGATAANATAACATATCATGTTCCTGATCAAATTAAGAAAAATGCTTTTTTTCCTATGACAGATGTTATTTTATCAAGATATCAGACAATATTGATTAAATACACTTCAATTATTTTTATTAAACAAGTCAAAATGTCGGCTCTCGAGATAAAAAGTGATATGAAAATGAGTTTTTAGATTAGAATTCAAGGAATAAGATATGAGAACTTTTCCCCATAGTTTAGAAAACAAGATTATGAATAAATGACTACTTTGCTTATATGCACTAACAAGTTTTAGTGAAATGTTTATCAATTTGTTCGAATATATAATTCAAAATGTATAGAATACGAAGATCATTTTAGTTGAGAATATTTTCACGAAAAGATTTATATTAAATAATATCTTAATTTTAATGCTTATAGTTATTGACATGCATATGTAAGCAATAAGAATAGGTATGCACCAGTACAGTCCGACTGGGTATTAGCTTCCCATGGTAACTTCTACTGGATACTACATATCTTCTACTGAGAACAAAAATTTGTTATTGATTCATTCATAACGAATTATGACTAATTCAGATGCTACCAAATTCAAAGATCAAATCAAATTTTAATGTTTGTTTTCCAATCTATAGTATACCATATGTATTAATATTCTTTCAGCAAATTATTCCAATTCATTCCAATGTCTTTATTGCACGTAATAAATAGTTTCGTTTTTTCATGGATATAATATACGTATTATGTCATTCTACTGAACTTCTCAATCACATTCCTTTATCGATAAGCTTTAGTCAGTTGTGACTTTGAATAGAATATACTACAACAGTCGATTTTATCACAGAAAATAAAAGCATTTCGAAGAGATTTATTAAAAATGAATTTTGCCGAATCGAACTCTATGAGAGATGAAAGACTTTTTTATTGTCTACTATTCTGTATTTGGGCATATATTTATTACTTAAAACACCTACTACAATATATTTGATGAAATGCCTAAGAGTAAAATAAATACGAAAAACACAAATGTGTCGATAGTTACATATGTGATATAAAAACTCTGTATTTATATACACATAGATGTATGTTGAGATTTGATAAGAATGCATTTGTTATAAGGCAAAACTTTTTTCAAGATAATAATTTATAACATTTTTTGCGAGGTCGACTAATTTGAGTGCAAATTTGACGCGAACATATTCGAACAACTTTTATTGATCATCGTCGAATTTATCCTAAAAGATAAAATTGTTTGACAACGAAATCCGGATGATAACATGATACATTGTGCTTGATGCATCTGGGTTCTAAGCTTCGGAAAACGTCTACCTGCATCCTCTCTCCGAGATCAAACATTATACCATTATACAAAACCTTTCATTATGTCATAAATATCTGTAGTATGTTCAGAACATGCATTTACCGATTAGATTAAGTCATGCACATGAAGAAATCATACAAAAAGTTCTGTGTAATATTAATCAAAGCGAGAAACATAGGACTGTTTAAACATAGCTTTTATCATGACTAGCTTACTTTTAAAAAAATGACCGTCGATAGGTTTTCTGCTGATAAGCGTGATCGTTCTTTTTGGGCTGCAAAGGCAGCGATTGAAAAAGCAGCTTCTGAAGCGACACTTGTTGCTGGCGTACAAATCAATTGTTGAGCTAATTTGAAGATGGAAGGAAGTGCATCTTGATAAATTTTCCAAAACTCGACACATGCTGATATAGATGGCCGACGATCGTGATTGAATTTCTCAACTAATAATCGGTAATTATAAATTTCTTCAACGATGGATGCACGCTTCGTGGAAGCCGGTGTTGAAATAGCAGTATCACCAATAGTCATAAGAAAAGCTTCCATAGCTGTAACGTTTTTCTTTTGACCAGAACCATCCGTTGATGTAGTAGTAGAATTCACGACGTCAACTATAATCGGTGATCTTGCACTTGCTTGGGCAGATAACGATGTAGATGCTGCTGTTGATGACTGACTGTTCGCATTTACATCACCATTCGTTATTGTTTGTTTGACACGCTGTTCGACAGCACGTTTATCACTTTCGGACAATAATGAATGACTGAGCGGATCGAAATAGGCGTGGAACTATAACAAAAGTATAGTGGCTAATAGACAAATATCGATGTGATGTCATCCTGGGGTATACTTTTCTACTGAACAATACAAATACCTGTACTTATTAGCTTCTCAACGTGAGAAAANCTTTCTCTAAGAGATCGCGACATATTCGATGATGGTTGCGCTGCTGGTGTGTTTTGTATGCACACGTCTAATCTGTTGTGCATGACAATTAAATGACGCCGTAACGCTGACGTTGACCAATTATTGGTACTAATCTGTGCACGACAATCAAAACAGATGGCGTACTGTTTACCTTCGATTTTGATTCGGGTCGCATATTTCCATACAGCTGAAGACTGCAGAGAGTGATTTTCGTCGTTGCTTTCTTCAGCCTCATTGATGTTAATTGAGGATGCAGTTGCTAAAGAATCGACACTAGTTTTAGCAGCTTTGCTCTGGTGAAACTGCTTTGTTGGTGCTTTCTTTCTTTTGGAGCCGTTGACGGTTATCTTCGAAATACTTTCTTGATCTTCATCCAGATCAAGAGTCAACGGTTGATCAACAATCGTCTGCAATTGTTCGCGAACATTTTCTTCAGTGGCATCAGTGTCATTGCTTGGAGTGCTAGGCAAGACAGTTGGCGCAGATAATGATTGATCGAATAAAGAATTTTCCGACGATGAATCATTAGTTGTAACATTGATAACAGCTTTGGCTACTTTTTTCGATGGTCGTTTTTTCATATTGTTTGATCGAGAGAGATCTATGTATGTCAAATGAAAAAAGGTAATATGTAATAAAGAAAACTCGACAACGTTTCATAAGGAAAATGACAATCAATGATTTGAACATTTTTCTCGGCAAAATAACTTTATCAATGTCTTTCAAATACCAAGCAATATGTTTGTTATTCGTGCCTTTTCGCCATCATTTATTGCAGTTAAATGAAATATTGAAAACTATGAGTGCGATATTTCTGCTTTTTTATTTAGTATCCCTCGTTTTTATAAAAAAAGTCGTTTCTCATGTAAAACTTCATTTCTACAAATTGCTTCGATAGCTTCATGGAATACATGTTTCTTATACTATGGACAGCGATGTATCAACGGCTATGAACCCATTTATCTATATCAGCTAATGAATAAGACACAGTCTTTGATGTTGAATTTGTTTGCCTCAAGAAGTAGGATTTCAACTACATCATCATTTAAAGGAAACATCAACTCTCATTTTTGTGCTGATCAATGAGCAATTTAGTTTCGAAATACGTATTTTAGTTGAGACCGAAACCATGTAAATTGAAATGCTGAGTTAAGTAAATCGTATTATTACTGTCCATATATAATCACATAGATATATTTTAGAAATGAAATTTATGCGAACCTTATCATATCACTTGCATCAATTCGTGTGAATGAGATTTAAATAATATATTAGCGTCTACCTAGCGACAAAACACGTTGCAGTGAGTTTCATTTAAAATGCTATTTGGCTCAAGTCTTATATATTTGTTCTAATTTCCCTATTGGCAGACAAATAAATAGAGATGTGATACGAATTGTTTTATCAATACCAGTGAAGATCGTTAAAAATCATCTCTTAAGCGAATATCAACAGTTAATCAGATTAAAAGAGCTGATCTCGATTATGCAGCCAATTTTGAAAAGCTTTTCTATTGTTTTGTCATTAACCGTTTGCCTATTGATCTCTTTCGATATCTGTCAAAAAGCATGTAATAAAGACATTGGAATGAATTGGAATAATTTGCTGAAAGAATATTAATACATATGGTATACTATAGATTGGAAAACAAACATTAAAATTTGATTTCATCTTTGAATTTGGTAGCATCTGAATTAGTCATAATTCGTTATGAATGAATCAATAACAAATTTTTGTTCTCAGTAGAAGATATGTAGTATCCAGTAGAAATTATCATGGGAAGCTAATACCCAGTCCGACTGGGTGTTCAGTCCGACCGGGTGCCCAGTCGGACTGGGTATCCAGTCGGACCGGGTACCCAGTCGGACCGGTCCCCAGTCGGACTGGGTAATCCGGTCGGACTGGGTACCAGTCACCCAGTCCGACTGGAACTGGGTGCATACCTAATTTTACAGTATCATGCGGAAAGAATGGCTGCTAGTAAATTTCTGTTGATAAGCAGAAATCAGAGGTAGCACTTTCGCGAAAATTGGTTTCAATTTGAGATTTGCCATGCCCTCCCTCTTCTGGTGTCCAATTTGTGATTCGGTACGCTAGCAAAAACGAATACTAACAATAATTTACACAAGATTCTTCGCTGTCTGTTTTTTTCTATAATCACACCAACAGAAGCAAAAAAATCAGAATTGTATTTTGGACTTGTGTTTCGAAGGAAATTCTGCTACTATCACAAATACAAGTT